CGCCTTCAAAAGAGTTTGGGAAGCAATCAGAGCAAGTTTTGCAAATCAAACCACACAACAACCACAGAGCTTCAAGCTTCTGTCTTTATCAATATATAAATCACAAACCAAACACAACCACAGAGCTTCAAGCTTCTGTCTTTATCAATATATAAAGCACAAACCAAACAAGCGAACTAGGTACATATGCTACATGATCCGGAGTACGTTTAGGATTAGATTCAAATCCCGCTTGCAATTTCTCTGCCTCGTGTCTAGGCTCAGCAAAAGCCTTCAAGAGAGCAAGTTTTGCAAATCAAAACCACACAACCACAGAGTTTCAAGGTTCTGTCTAAATCAATACATAAAAATCACAAAACAAACCAAGCGAACTAGGTGAATATTACCTGCTCCGGACTAACTTTAGGTTTAGATGATCCAGATCCAAGCTTTGCATCTTTTAGTGAGATTAGAAGATTGGTGACGTTTAAAAAATCCCCAGGAGGAGCCAAGACCTCGAGGCTTAGTGACGGAAAGCCAGACGCTTGGACAAGGCCATCGATTCAGAATTGGAAAGATGGCTCAACTTGCACGCTAATAGGCTTAAACTAGGGCTCGGCAAAATACTAGGAACCAAACCAAAATTGAAAATCGAGACGGAAAACAAAAGGAGGTTCAGGAAGCGAGATTGAAAATCGGAGAGTCGAGACAATTGGATAAGAGAATACTACAAGGAAAGCCACAGATATTAAAGACACAAGCTAGCTAGTTCCTCCTCCAGGAACTCTACTGACAAGAAAAAGTAGGGTATACCTTAACTGTGACACATTGGATATAGAAGAAATATTTTTGCATTGTACATTTCAGATATTGATACAAAACACTCGTTCGTTAGGATAGTCTCATGGCAGAAAAACATTTAGATAAACCTAGTAATTGACCTACGAATTCAATTATCTGGTCTAGGATATTGAGGCAGGTGCCAGTGTAACGCAGAAGCATGAGGACGAGGATAACTTTCATGAACATAGACATGAACCACTCACTTGGAATGTTTATCTTAAGAGAAGTTTATAACTAGTCTATATGGGTAGGAATTTTAGATAAGAGGCTTTAGATCATTCGCATACATACCATTGAGAAACTAGTCATATGTTTTCTCGTGTTGAGAATAACGGTAACAAAGATTCAAAGTAGCCACAAAGAACGTCTGCCTCTCGTGTTAAAAACGTTGAAAATTGTTTGCCTCTCGTGTAAACTCAGCCGAAACCTTCAAAAGAGTTGGGAAAACTATCAGAGAGCAACAAGTTTTGCAAAATCAAAACCAAACAAGCGAACTAGGTATATATGTTACCTGATCCGAACTAACTTTAGGTCAAAACTTTGCATCTTTAGAAAATTGGCGACGGTTAATCAATCCGCAAGAGGAGCCAAAACATGGAGGCTTAGTGACGGAAAGCGCACCTAAGAGAGCCAGACGCTTGGACAAGGCCATCGATTCAGAATCGGAGACTCGCGAGAATTGGGATCTAACCTTTGCACCCTTCAAAACCTAACCATATCAAATGTGCGGAAAGATAGCTCAACTTGCACGCTAATAGGCGAAAACTAGGGCTCGGCAAAATTACCAGGAACCAAACAAAAATTACCCGAACTCGAACCGATTTGATCTGTCCATTTTTTTGTTGGTCGTCAATATTATATGTATAAATGTAATCGTAGGGGGAAAACAGAAAAAATATTAGTCATTTTATTTCTACACCAATAAAGTTTGG